CCATCCATCCATCCATCCATCCATCCATCCATCCATCCATCCATCCATCCATCCATCCATCCATCAGCCACTCTCCTCCCTGCACAAAGTTTGCTGATGGGCTGAGTTATCGAGTTGCCTGAATGATTTAGGCCACTAACCTGGGCTCTTCCTCAAGCTGCTGGAGCCTGACTTAGTTAAGAGCTGGTCTTGTGTTTTCAGCTCCACACTTCAGTCCCTTGCTGTCCCTTCCCACAGCCCTTCTTGCTGGAAAGGATCCATTCTCCATCTCCTGGGTGGGATTTCAGGAGCCCCTGTCCCCACATGGTCGTTGAACTGCCCTGCACTCCCACTTCATAAAACACAAATTCCTGTCACTGCCTAACTCACAGGTGACCTGCAAGGTCCTGGGTATGTCAGAGCATTTGCACAACCCTTCCTAGCAGTTCTCTTGTGCAGTCAGTTTTCCTCTTTCTTCAGGAAAAAGAAGTTTTTCCTCTTTCCTCAGTCAGTTTGAACTGAGAGCAGGGCATTTTGAAGCTCATATTTACACTGCAAAAGTAATAGAGCAAATGTCTGCTGCTTTTCCCTCAGACTCCTGACACTCAGTAAGGAACTCTGTTGCTTTGCCTTCAATTTATCTGCTCCATCACTGTCCATTTCCTCCTTTGGCTTCAAGAAAAGGACTCTTGAGGACTCAAATTCCTGAATAATTGTCCAAGAGTTGTCTTGAAGCTGTCTTGCACCTTCACCAGCACATCCTGTCCTCCTGAGTGGCTGTGCCTGGGGCTACAGGTTAGGGATTATCTTGTGCTGCTGCATCTTCAGATTTCTAACCCTGCTTTTAATTTCTGTGCTTTCCCTGTAAAGCATCCCTTCGGAATCGTACTCCAGGATATTTCAGGAGGTGAAAGATCCCTCCTGCTCCTATCACACTGCACTCYAGTGCSGGTTGCCCCAGGAAAAAAGCTGTCYAGTYGGGTGGGATGAGCTGTGAAATGCTGATCATTCGTGAATGATTCTCCCTTGATAGCCTTCAAATACAGGAGGAGATGGAAGTCAACTCCAGGTCACATTCCTGCTCAGGTGGYGGCAGTTCCAATGCATAATTGTCCTCCTGCCCTTTCAATCAGATTTGTCATTGTTCCATGACAAACTTCTGGCAGTGATTGACCACTGGCACAGCTGGAAAGCCTGGCAGCCAAGGGCTGGGGATGAAAACTGGAAAACCAGGCAGCCAGGGGTCATGGATGACCTCTCCTGCAAGGTCCTCACAGGTTCAGCCTCATCACTTGCAGCTCCTCAAAGGCTGTGAGGAGTGCATGACAGGGGTGTGTAAAAAAAGCAGAGAACAGCCAGACACTATTATTTATCCATTCACTGTCTAAACTTATTTCAGGATTAAAAAGAGCTTGATTGACATGAGAGCAGGAGGCAGAGCTCATGGAAACCTCCTGGTCCCAGGGGAACCTGCTGAGGCTGCTCTCTAGGGCAGGGCTGTAGCAAACGCCTTTTTCTTCTTATCAGTCATTACATTCCCTTCTTTTAGCAGGTACTATATTTTTCAGGTATTTTGCAAATATGATATTTCTCAGGTATTGTATTTTTCAGGTATTATATTTTGCTGATAACTTATTTTTCATGTATTATATTTTGCAGAGATAATATTTTTCAGGTATTATATTTTGCAGAGATAATATTTTTCAGGTATTATATTTTTCTGATATTTCATTTTTCAGGTATCATTCTTTTCAGACATTACATTTTGCAGATATAATATTTTTCAGGTATTATATTTTGCAGATATTACATTTTTCAGGTATTATATTTTTCAGACATTTTATTTTGCAGATATTCTGTTTTGCAGATATGGTATTTCCATGCAACACTGCTGTTCCTGCAAGTGATCCTCTGTCAGTTCTGGGGCTCTGWGGCTGTTGAAGAGGAAAAGAGGGGAAAAAAGAGACCAGGACAGAGACAGGGGAGCAAGAGCAGAGCAGGGACAAAGCATAGACATAGTGGTGTGCTTAAGTGCTGGAATATTTAATGTCAAGCATCCGGGGCTGATGGCACAATATTGCCCCAGACCCACAATTTGCACTGTCACTCACACAGGAACCCCGGTTTTGTCCACCCTGGCMGTGCAGAACCCTGATCTCCTCCTAAAATCGCTTTAATTAAGAAGTGTCAGGACGAGCTGGAATAATGCAGCTATTTCTGGGGCTGCCAGAAGGAGGGAGCGGGGCTGGGATGGGATGAATCCATTTTTATTGCTGATAGCAGACTGCTGATGGAGCAGTCAGCACACACAGCCCGCTAATGAAGGAGCTTTGAGGAACCCAAAGAGCAGAGATGTTCAGCCTCTAATTTGGGCTTGTCTGGCCTAATATCTCTTCTGCCTTTCCCTTTGAGGGGCTGGGCAGTCTGACATCTTCTCTGACTGACGTGCGGACAGAAATAGGATTGCTCGTTGCTGTTCAATACCCAGGGCTGCTGCCTAGGGCTTGGAGCTTCAGCAGGAGCTGGAAAATATCTCCATGTCCTAARTCATTACCAGAAACGAGAGAAGCAGGAAGAAGTTTAGGATGTGTGAGGGAGAAGCGGGGCAGTGTTACATTGCTATAGATTGTAGCATGCATGGCATATTCATATATGTAGCATACAGATAGCATATAAATAGCATATCACATACAGCTTTATTGTTATCATTATTGTTATTATTATCATTATTGTTATTATTATTATTATTATTATTATTATTATTATTATTATCATCATCATCATCATCATCATCATCATCATCATCATCATCATTATTATTATATGACATATATAGAATATAGAAAGAACAGCCTGTTTGAAAGATGTCAGGATCATCCAGAGGGATCTGGACAGGTTTTAAGAGACGGAAAACTCAACAAGATCAAGTACAAGATACTGCACCTGCATCAGGGCAACCCCCAATATCATTTGGGGGATGAGCAGATGGAGAACAGCCCTGCCCAGAAAGACTTGAGGWTGCTGGTGGATGAGAGGCTGGGCATGCCCTGTCCTTGCTCCYTTCATCATTTCGAGGAGTCTGACCTCGCCAAGTGCATCCCCATCAATATTTTTAGGCACTTGCTTGGAAGCAGCCAGTGCTGAGTCAAGAGCTTTCCAGTCATGAACTGCAAAAACCCAGCCCCTATTGCAAAAGACCAGGAAGAGTTAGAAACATGTTACTGGGAAAAAATAAAAGAGGAGTAGCTAAATTTATCCCAAGGAGAAAGGGTATGYGTGAAGCCTTCGGCTACTTCAACTCCGCTGGTGCCATTCAGGGAAAGGAAATAAAAAACAATGGCTGTGTCCATAAATAGGCCAGGCAGGGGTTTAAGAGGACACAGATTGCCTAATAAATCTTTCCATATTCCTAATCTGCCCCGGCTGACTCAGATTGCATTACTGAAATGTCACAATTGCTAAGCATTAGCAAGTGATAAGCACACTTTTACCACTGACTAGACAAGCCTTAATTATGCCGCGTCCTTTTCCTTCTCCCCTTTATTGGAGCCGTAACAGACTCTCCAAGAGCTTTCCTCTGTTTAAATGAGGACTAAAAATGGCACAAGGCAATAAAGCAAAGTGACAGAAAACATAGGAGACAAGTCCACAGCAGCCGTGTTTTATTAAAGGCTTTTCTTAATGACGGACGGGATGTTACSAAGTGTCGCATTAACACACACCAACTGCAAAGAGTTGGTAATTCCACCAGGAGCTTTCCAAAGGGTGGATGTCCCAGYCTCTGGGAAAGACTTTTGCCATGCTGGCTGGAAAACACTTTTTCAGAGTTACATCTGTCACCAAAACTGCGGGAAAAACAAAAACTCTCCAACAACATTTTTAATGTTAGAAGTCAAGGCATTCCTTTATTTTCTGGCCAGGATGTGTAAAAGGAATCATCTCATTTACACATAGTCCGGATGTGCAGAGAGAATCATTCCACGACACGTGGATTTTAAAAGATTTTTCCCCAAACTTTATACAGTCAAAACCCATAGAACTTAATTGGTTTAATGTTCATCGGTGCGACATTGCGCAGTTCTCAGTATTTGGGTTCCTATTGGATCTGGATTTCTTCCCCTCCAATGCTAATTAGGTCCTGCTTCTTATCTCTTTTCCCAGCCCAGGTGTCTCTGACCATTCCAGGGGTGAGGTTTGGGGTTGATGTTTTGTTAATGACCCTTGATAATCCTTGATGGTTTTTATCTTTTGTGCTTTTCCCGATCTTTTGAGTTGTTAACCTTATCAGGCCTCACCCGGTGGAAAAGGCCCTGCAAAGAAACTTTAGCACTTTTCCCCGAGGCAAAGGTGAACAATATCTGACTAAAGTTACATAAAAAAATATTTTAAACTGGTATATTTTCCAACACATCAAGTGATGTTTGGCTTTGAGGCAGCTCAGAGAGCCCGGCTGAGCAGTGATGTGAGTTACGGACACACCCTGAGATTGAGGATCTTGGGACAAAAATCAAATGKTTTTTGGAAGAGAGTGGTGGACGGAAGGGTGTCTGTGAAAGGAACAGCTCCCTGCCTTCTTTCCCCTCCCCTGGAAACTCTCCTGTGTCCCTCCCAGATGGTGTGGCCGCGTTCCGTGCTTTCCTGAAGACGGAGTTCAGCGAGGAGAACCTGGAGTTCTGGCTGGCCTGCGAGGAYTTCAAGAAGACGCGCTCGGCGGCCAAGCTGGCCTCCAAGGCCCAGCGCATCTTCGAGGAGTTCATCGACGTGCAGGCCCCCAGGGAGGTGGGTACCCTGTGCCACCAGCCTGGCCATCACCCCCAGATGGCACTGGGGTGCTCTCCCTCCCTCCCTTCCCTGTGGGAGCGAGGATGAGGAGGGTGGCAATGCCATCCTGCCTGCTGCAGCTGCCTCTGCTGCCGTGACTCATCCCCAGCGAGGGCAATACTTTGTGATGCTAAATTAGTCACAGCCAGGGAGCTCAACCTCAGCCTACATCTCCCAACCTCCCYGAGCTTCCCTGGAGCATTCCAGCGTGCTCCTCTCATCCAGGGCTCATCCCTCACGGGGACACTTTGCACTTTTGCACGGGACTGTCCCACCCATGTGTGACTTGCTGGCTCTCCAGGGAGCAGAGTTTATCTCTGGCTGAGTCCTGCCTCACTCAGACCTCCYGAGAGATGCAAACAGCAGCTCACAGCTGAACACAGACAGCAGGCACAGCCTGGGACTGGTAAATCCCCTTTCAAGCACTGCCAGGCTGATGGCACCGTCAGCTCCTGCGTCGTGACTGAGCTGGGTTGTGTTCCTGCCATCAGTGCACAACCAGGGCGGCTCTCTCTGCTCCCAGCCCCTCCTGCTCCACCACATGTATCCCTGTCACCATACAGGTGCCAGTAACCCCAAAAATGGCTCATTTTACACTCTCCCAGCTAGAATGGCCATTGCAAGGCCACTGGGAAGGCCCCAGATTCACACCAAGGTGTGTGCGTGTCTCAGTGCCCACCGTGATCATCTTCCCGCTGTTACTCAGGAAGCTGGGTGAGCTTTTAAGGAGTGGAGGGCTGAATCTTGACTGGAAATGGGAATGTAGGTAGGATGGGGTCTTTCCTAAAATCTYCTGAAGTTTCCTTAGCACTGGTATCACAGTTTTGGCTTGCTAGAACATGAAATCATTAAGCAATAGGGAGCCAGTCCATATTGCTGACACCCACATTAAGCTTTGCTTTCTAGGCTCCTTCAAGTTTGGACACTGGGTTAATAACAACAAATAACATCTTTCCAGCCTTTTCTTTTTCTTCCAGACAATAGTCCTAACAAATGCTGATTGCTGTGCTAGGGAAACAGGAGAACTCCACTGGCTGGCTTTGCAAACAAGCTGCAGCCATAACATTGTAGGGTGGTTTATTTTTCCAAGCCTCTGCTCAAAATATTGTAACATGAGGCTGCTGTGGGAAAAATCAAACAATTTATKTCAGATCAACAGAGTTTAGAAACATTTAATAAGAATGCACTCATGGTTTAAACCCAGTTGAAAGTTCGTTCATATATTGGGTGAAGAATGAAGRGAACAGAGAAATTGTGGTTGATGGGAGAGAGGTTAGGTGAGTCAGCAGTCTGAATAAAAGTAATAATAAAAGTAATTTGATTTCAGAAGTGCTCACATCTCTACAAATCCAAGTTTTCCAGGCTTGGGGCAGGATTTGTAGCACTGGATCACTAAATCTGCCGGATCTGTGGGGCTGTTTGGGCATGGATGTGGGTAGGACCTCRGTTCTGCTGCGTTTTCCAGCCATGGCTCAGAGGGGATGTGCCATTTGAAGGAGGCCAGCTGGTCCCTCAGTGCCAAACTCTCTTCTGCTGCTCTCCTCAGGTGAACATAGACTTCCAGACACGGGAGCTGACAAGAAGAAACGTGCAGGAGCCCTCCCTCTCGTGCTTTGACCAAGCCCAGGGGAAGGTACACAGCCTGATGGAGAAAGACTCGTATCCCAGGTTCCTGAGATCCAAAATTTACACAGACCTGCTGTCTCAGACCCAGAGGAGGCTCAGCTAGAGCAGCCRTGGGGCCCTCACAAACCATGTGCTTCCCACAACAGCCAAAACCCATGTCTAAATGTGAAACTTKCTTGGTGTTCAAAGGAGTGGGAATGGGAAAAGAGGGAGGAGGGCCAGAGGAAGTTTCCAGAGAGTGATCCAGGCGTGGTATTAAGACTTTCTGTGCTTTTTTTTTTTCGGTTAGCAGTAGCACTTTGCAGTTGTTGCCTCTCTCTAGCACATACCCACAACCCTCCCCAGTTGCGGGGTCGTCTGTTGGCGAGGCAGGTTTTCTTTAAAATTGCTGTGTTGGTTTGTGTGTAAATAACACCTTTCCATCCTCCCACACATCTCCCATCTCTCACCTCTCCCTTGTGCTTGGAAGGGCCCCAAGAGGAGCTCTTACCTGTGTGGAGCTCAAAGCAGCGTGGTCTGGACCACGGATCGAGGGGAGGGAGGGAGGAGACAAAGGCACAGGAATCTTTCCCCTTCCAGGACTGGGAGCCATCAGCAAACTCAGCTGACCCCCCAATTTTGGCTGCATACCTTATGACACAGCTGCTACCCTGTGACAGTCCCTTGCCTTTCAGGGATGAGAATTTTCCATAGGACTGGCGAGGAGCTGAGTTTTCCTCACGAGGGAGGTAATCCCAAAAGCCCTCGCTAGATCTGGGCAAGGCAAGGCTTCTGATGTGAATGATTGTTTTTCATGGCTGTTATTTATTTGTGTGGTAGCTCAGCCTCGGGGCCCCTGTCGTCGTTCAGGCTCTGCTGTGCTGGGCTCTGTACCAAAACCAAGCACAAAGGGGCTCCTGGCTGCCTTGGTGGCTCCTCAGGAACGACCTGTTGGGAGACAGTGGGGAGAAGGAATGTCCCCTCTGCCCCCTTAGTGAAGTGTAAAAAAAAGCACAAGACCCTTCTGCCATGGCAGATGGCATTTTTCATGTGACATGGCGTGGCAGCATGAAAAATCACAATCTATTTTTGTTTGTTTTTTTCCCTGATTATTGGTTCTTCCTACCTGTGGGTTCAATGTCCTGCAAAGAACTCCTCACAGGACAGACCCTGCTGCAGGCAGGGTGTTTGCTTCCAGTGAACACAGYGAGCATGGAGGGTGTGCAGAGGGGTGTGAGGTGTTCCTCTGCCCTAATCCCATAGCCTGGATGGCCACTGCAGATGCTCTGTGGCCACCTGGATGGTCTGTGCAGATGTCTATGCTGTGAATAATTCCTGCCATCCCGTGGCCCCATTTCCATGGGGAAATGCTCCAGCTTGTCAGATTCCTGCAATATTTTCCAGGGGAGAAGCAGACAGCCTGTCTCTGGATTTGAGCCGGCGGACCAGAGGTCTGTTTGCTTAACTTTATCAAGGCCTGGAAAGCGACCCCATGGATCTTTTCCTTTTCTCAGTCATCCCCAGAGCAAACCTCTGCTCCAGCAAGGGTGGTGGATGGGTTTGATACAACAGAAAGCTGCTGGTAAAGATTTAGTGTGATGTGGTGTAAACAAGGTAGAATGAATTCTAAAGCTAAGCATAATGTGTTTGGAACAAGATACAAAAAGATGGGTATTAAAAATTACTGGCCATGAATTAGGTAGGAAACGGATGAGGTTTTTTGAGACTTTTTGTAAGGATGCTGTGCAGGACAGTAAAACAAATAGGTTTAGGATCAAGATAAAGGTGATAATCATATTTGGTTTATCCTGGAGGTATATTCCTTAGGATCTCTAAGATGCTGGATTCTAAATACAGTGCAGGGGCAAACTYCATGTTCAGCAGGATAACCTGCTTCTCAGCACCTGCTTGGTCAGCAGCAGCATCCTCCGGTTCTTTGGAAGGCAAACACCATCTCCAGTCAACTCTCCCTGAGGAATGGCCAGAAAGAGCAGCAGTGACCCAGCATTGCTGGCTGTCCTCTGCCCCTGCAGGGACGCCTGAGGAGCAGGGCCTGGTCTGTGGTGACAGAAGTGGCATTGTGCAGCCACACCCTGGCTCAGTGACACAGCTCCTGGAGCTGTCGAGGCACGTGAGGACACAGATCTGGACGTGGTGGTTTCACACAAACCTTGCTTGAAATGGAGCAGTGAGACATCTGGGAAAGGCCCTGGATTTGCCATGATTTACCCAAGGKGACCCCATTGTGCAGCAGCTCCATGTCCCAAAGCTTTACAGCAAGCAGGGAGCAGTGGGACGGGGAGCCRGTGCAGTGAGCGGGAGGAATCAGAGATGGAAGCAAAGGACACATGGCCATGCAGCCAGCGGCTGTCCCTGGGCTGCAGCAAGTCCAGCAGAGTCCCATCACCCTCACAGYCCATCCCTGGGGCAGGGAGTGAGCAGGGCAAACAAAATTCTGCTGCAGCGAAGCGCTTRGTGCCTGAYCTGGAAGGGAAGGACACAAAGCTTCCCTGTGGGGCTGTGAGGAGAGGCTGRGRGARCTCCCCTTCCCCAGAAACACTGCCTGGCACCCCTGTGGAACACAGGACAGCCTGGGATCTCCCAGGGGCACAGGCAATTCCCTTGGGATGCTCTGTATCTCAGCTGTACCCTACCTGGCTGCTGTAGGAGAAGCGTTTTCCCCTCTAAATTGGTGCCAGACAACATCCTCCACGGGAAACAGCATCCTAGAATGCAGTGGAGCAAAAGCATTGTCTGAGGCATGTGAGCCTGCCACAGTTATTTTCATTGCTGCTCTTTGCCGTTTGTCTCTCTTGAAGGAAAGCAGACTGGTTATTTAAAGTAAAATTCTATTTTYCTTAAACAAGAAAACGGCACCAGCTGCTTCTTTTGTGTGGACTGTCRTTCTGAAGCGAATCAAAACAGGCAGCTTGTAGCTCTTCCCCTTAAACCCGGGGCTGATCAAGGAAATAATGACTGAGCCAAAGCTTCGGAAAGAACTGGGTGATGACTAATTCCCATCTAGGACAAATATCCTACCCTTGATTCATCTCTTCCTGGTGTGAAAGGGACACTCATAACCTACAAACCCATTTCCCCTCTCCACAAGAACACACCTCCAAAATTTTCCTCCTGTCTGGAGTAGCGTCAGAGTGTGCCATCACATCAAGAGAGTGGAAAAAAATGGGTTCACTCTGTTCTTTTTATTCTGTTTGCTRGCACATATCCAGACAGCTCCCAGGTACTCTGAGGGCAGAAGGGAAAAAACAGTTTACAAATTCCCTTTCCCTCTCCTGGGAGCTGCAGGTGGTGTTAACTCCAGGARCTGATGCAGAACTCGGATCTGCTCTAAGTTTCTCCTGCTTTGGTCCACCAGCCTGGCTTGGGATGATTTCCATCATTTTTACTGGCCTCATTAGTGCACCAGGGGGTCCCTGTTGTCCATGCTGAGAAGGTGTGAAGGGCAAAGTCCTGCCAGTCTGAGCAGGGGAGGGGGAAATCGCTGCGTGTGTCTGGGGTGCGGGTGGATGAGAGCGCATGTGACTTCCTCTGTATCTTATTTAGTGTCCTCTACTAGAGAAGCTTTTCTGAGACATAGATGTGCATGTTCAAATAGGAGAATTAGGCATAAATGACATAAACTGAGACCTTTAGCCAGTGCTGTGTTTGCCTCGTGTGTAAGTCCGAGTAGTAGTAAGAGACGTAAAACTCTGCTAGGCTCCCAGTTACCCCGAGAGCACATGTATCAAACTGAGCTGAATGTTCACTGATAGACACAAAACCAAAATGTTTACAGCATTCAGAGCAATAGCAAAGCATACCTCATGCCAGTCCTGGAGTGCCTCTCACCCTTCAGTGCAAGCTCTCCCTTYCCCGGGGGCCTCTGGCTTCTCCTCCAGAGCCCTCTCTCTCCTCCTCCTTCTTCTCTGTCTTGAAGCACTCCAAACCTTCCTGTCCACCAGCACTGTTTGTCCTCATCTATCTGGGCCTGGGACTCCCAAAATTTTCCCGTTTTCCCGTCATCCATCCCTCCCTCCTCTCTCCTGTGCCTTTCCCCTCCCCAGATACTTGTCTCTGGTCACGCCATCTCCCTCCTACACGCCTCCTACTGCCACTGTAAACCTCCTAGGAGCTCTTCTCTCCCCATTATATAAGAACAAAACATTTCACATCATTTCTGCGTTATCTTCCATTCCCGGGGCTGCCGCAGTTGTCTCTTTCCTTGGTGCTGTGCTCTCTCCGGCATCGTAGCATTATATCCCAGAACTGGAATTAAAGTTCATTTTGCTGCTAGACCAGAACGCTTCTCCCTACCACGCACCCCTTGGGCTTTGCAGAGGCTCGTCTTGTCCCCAAGTCTTTCGTCTTCCTTGTTTTTTTCCCCTTCTTCCACGCACGCTGCACACTCAGCGCTTGTGGCAGGGGCTGGCTCGGGGGAGAGGGCAGCCACACTGGGGTCACTCCCGGCTGGGCTCCCCCGTGGCTCTCTGGTTTGTAAAAACAGTGTCAATAAAGGTGTGTGGGCTGTGATTGCTCGGCAGAGTCAGTCGTTGTACTCTGTGCCTCCTCCGGGCTCTACAGGAGGCTGTGTCTCTAATCTGGGACTGCGGTGAACTCAGTGYGAGTTCAGGGAGCCCGTGGGAGGGAGGTGGCAGAGGGGGATGAGCTTGTTACCAAAACATCTAACATTGCCGGCAAAAAGGCACAGGGGGAAGGCAGTGCCTGCTTCAGGAGGGAGCTGGCATACAGGGGGCTGTGCTGTGAGTTGTTTGCCTCCAGCAGCCCCACACCTCAGAGTTCAGATTTGATTTTAAGCTCCCGCCTTGGTGGGTGGCCGTGYCTCCCTGAGGACCTGACTGCAAACCCAAGCACCCAACGAGGCTGATGTAAATAACAAAGATGTCTCCTTCCCGTGGAAATAAACCTGTGGGTGGCTCAGAAGAAACTGAGGATGGCCCTGCTGCACGCAGTGAACTCAGAAACCAGCCACCAGCTAGAAAGAGCAGCTCGGATAYGCTTCCCTCTGCCACATCTTTATTTTCATGAGATCCCGCTGCCGCTGCTGTGTCTGGGCATGGGGAGATCCCAGCAGGAGCAGCTCGGGCAGGCTGCTCAGTGTGACCCTCACCGCCCAGGGGAAGGCATGGGCTGGGCTCCCCGGGTTCCCCCTGCTTTAGCTGCTTGTTTGCTCGCTAGGCTGCCCTTCCCGGGAGGCTGGGGAGCTCCTCYGGTGTCCCACCAGCAATGACACTCCCTGAGCTGCGCCACCATCCTGGCCAGTGTCACCCCCCTGTGCTGTATAGACACCCTGAGGATGTAATAAACAGCCCGAGATCATCTGTTCTGTGCCTGAGTGTCTGAAMAGCTGCGAGTCGAGGGTGTTTCCCCGTGTGGAAAGTGGGAGCTGCAATCCTGGGGATGGAGGGGTGTCCCCCGGAGGAATTGCTGAGGAGGAGGAGGATGGGAGAAGCTGTTTCTCCCCAGACCCTGGTTTCAGACACGCTGGATGAAGCAGCACAGCGGGGTGGTGTTGGCTCCAAGCAGTCTTTTCTCAGTTGGAG